GCAGATGTTTAACGTGTCATGTCACAGCAGCTCTCCATAGCAGATTTCAGCGCGACAGGAAGAATGCCATGCAACTGCAAGAAGGATTTAGTTAGGCGAGGCGTAATTACCAAAGTTGGACTGTGTCCAGGACACCGGGGCAAACCCTCCTGCCTTGGCAAATTTGATTTTAACAACTTTAATTTTAAACACCTGATAGTCGTATTTCTTGTCAAGGGAACAAATTGCTGAAAGTGAGAGAGGCAGCATTTCCTAAGCAAAAAACATCTCAGAAAATGAAGAAAGGAAAACCAAAAAGTTTCCTCCTATATGGTTTGTGACACCTCAGTGGGAAACCATGAAATATCCACTGCAGAAACACATTTTCTGGTCTGTAGGTCAGCTTAGCTTATAATACCCCACAGCCCGAGCCAGTATTTTGCGCACGGAAGTGATGAATTGTAAAAAGTGGAACAGCACAGGAGGATCAGAGTACGGAGGCCAGGTCACAGCAATGCAGAAACAAAACATGAAGAACCTGCCCGAAAAGGAGAAAATTCAACTTCTTTTGCTATTAAAACGTATCTACGCACCAGCTTTTATTGATGACACGGCAAATACCCACATCTGACAACCACACAGTTCAACACACCAGCTTGCTCATGTGGAATTGAACTGCGTCTAGGGCATTGCAACAAAACAAGCAAAGCAAAATGAATACCCGAAAGAAAACATCTTGCGTCACACAGACCCTCTCAATCTCGGGAGGAACGTTGTTGACCTTGGCTACCCCCGAGATCTGCCACGTGAACAGAGCAAATAATAATTTCTCGTAGCAGTTGGCAAGCTTCGGCGTAAGCAAGTCCTGATCCTGCCCTAAGGCAGGGAGATGGAGCGGGTGACTTCCCAGGTTCCCTTCCAGCCAAGCATTCCTGTGATGTTAAGGCCCACTCCCAAATCCTATTAGCAAGGATCCCAGTGATAATGGTGAAATAATAAAGCATCTACCATAGCAAGTTGATAGTCTCTCCAGGAAACGAATACTGCCCAACAGAAGGGTACTTCAGAATAGTTTGCAGAGGAGTTGCTTTAAGGAGAAAGCTGTACCTGCATCACCCTGAAAATAACTGGAAGCATGTGGAGAACCTCTTTTCCTGGCGTTTTCACCCAAGTGAAACAATCTTCTCCAGTTGCTGTTGAAAGGAATTCAAAGAAATAATCCGTACCTGAGAGATTATTTCCACCTTTGTACAACACACAGAACAAGTGTTCTGGCACTTGCTCTGTCCCATTTCCAGCTCAGGTTGTGTTGCACATGGGATGCGTTTACCTCGGATGGAAAAAAAAATCTGCACTACTCATTTCCCTGATGTATATGCTGGTCACACCTGATGTATATGCTGGTCACACCGCGGTATCAGCAGCAGCTCAGCTGTGGCTGTTGAGTAAAATATGGCCCTGAGACACACAGGCAGCTTACATTCACAAAAGGGGATGGAGGAGGCTCGGGTAGCCGGAGTTGTACCTACTCACCAGCATGCCGAGGTTACGGCACGCTGTGGGCTCCTGTTGCCGTCCCCGCTCCGCTGCGTAATCCTCACATCGCCGCAGGAGACCTCGCACCAGTGCTGCTACCCTGTCTTTATGGCCCCAAGTCTGAACACATCCCCTTGCTTCTCCTGATGAGAAAGTGCCCCTTCGGGGTTCGGTGGATGGCCGCAGACCCCTGCAGCCTACCAAACCCACAGGTCCGCAAATAACCCTGAACAGCTTTGTTACAGGATTAGGCTTGGCACGTCCAACCCACTGGTGGTGCCCAGGGAACGCAGCGGGCCAAAGCGTCGGCGTACTGCTTTTTCCAATCAGGTCTGCTGCCTCGTTTCAAGAATGGGAATGTTTTAGACCCACCTACTATTAAAAAAAATATTATTTTTACAGCTTTCCTACATACTGACGTACCTCCTTGTGCATACTGTGTGCAATTCACAAGTTGAACAAAATAATGAAATATTCCATGTTTCACCGTTTCCTCATCAGCGTGGTAATGAAATACAGATATACTTTATCTACCCTGATGATGGTGAAGCTCAGACACTAATCAGAGGTTTGTTTTTATTTTTGGCTGTCACACACACAAAAAAAAAAACAGAGCAGAAACCATTTTACTTTATCTTTTAAAACCCGTGTATGTAGAAAGGAGGCAATGGCTTTACACAGTCAGCTGCTTGTCCATTTATTCTGTAGAGTAACTAAAAGGACTAGTGCAAAACATCTCAGCTTCAGTTCTCCTCTGGTGTAAATCCAGGTAGTTCCACCACAGCTCAGTGGACCTGTAATACAGCATACACCAGGGGAGGATTAGGCCCCCGGGTACAAGTATAAGAATTTCCCATTGCAAACACTGGTATGAAAACAGTATTCCCTCCCCTCGTTCCCTTCTTTTGTGTTACGGTGTATCCTCATCTCCAATATTCTGCCACTTAAAAAAACCATTAACAAACGCGTAATTGGCAAGCAGAAAGACATCACCTTGTCTCACCAGCAGGAAACTTTTCCACGCTAGCCCTGAACTCCCAGTCACAATCACAGCTAGCCGAGATGCTATAAACACAGACAGGCCGAATGTTCAACCATGGTCTCCACCTTTCAGTCTGAATATACTGAAATTCCACTCTCTAAGGCCAGTATCTGCATAGATACCCGAGACCTGTGTTATTGATAATTTAAACAATTCTTTTACGAATTCCTACGATATTGTAGTGTCCTGATTACAAAGCATTTAAGGCAGAAACTTCCTTTTAAAAGTACAGTTAAGCACTGAGCTGTTTTGTAACTAATATGAAAAGAAAATAAAAGATCCTTTCTTGTTTCTTTGGGACAGCAGTACATCGACGGTCATTACTTCTCCTAATAAAGAGAAGCATCCCTTTTCCCCTTGAGAGAAAAAGGCTCAGCTACTTCATGATAACCTCGTGCACAGCAGACTTTAGGGCTTTTATGCACAGCTCATGCCATCCCGGTTGGAAAGTAATTCTGCAAGTAACCTTGCTACAAACCAAGAAGGTGCACAGTGTCATTGGTCTGCTTTAAAATCACAAACACATGGAGAAACAGTTGTGCAATTTTTCTTAATAAAAGAAATTCACCACACTTTAAAAAAAAATAGATTAGTCTGTTCTAATTAAAGTTCAAAACCAAAACCAAACGTACAAAAAGCCCAGTCCCACACCTTTATGCTACATCTCAATAGGCTGAAAAGCTTGTAAAAGACTGGCCTGGCCCGGCCCACACACACACTGAAGGCTCTGCGACCAGATATTGCCAGGTTGACCCCCATCCTGCTTCATGTGGATAAAACTCCCTTTGACACCAGCTGGAGCAAGGTTTGTTCCTAAATAAACCAAAAATTCAAGAGAGAAAAAAAAAAAAACAAACCTCACCTCATGACTGTTGCATGTAGCTGGAAACAAGCTCTGACCCTGCAATTTGCTTTATCTCAGCATACAGAAACAGAGTAAAATCTCTGCTTTGTGCCATTCGGGGGAAACCCAACTACTGTTCATGTCTAAACACTTGTAGCTCTTAATGGGAAAAAAAGAAACACACTAAACCCTCCTGATGTTGCATGTAATGCAGGGTGTACGACTCGCTTACACCAGTTCTCATGTGTACACCCGACACACACACCCCAGCACGTTAATTTTTACTACCCAAGAGAAACCTCGGTTTAGATTTGAGACAAAAAGCAGCAGTCCATCATCTCATGTCGTTCTAAAAACCTGACATTTACAGAGCTGTTTCCAAACGAGTTCATTAAACACTGCATGCATCTTAAGGCCATATGCAGCAGTATAATTTAAAGCGTATATTTTATGGGTTTCTTTTTCTGGTTTACCCGCTGATTATTATGTGCTGTAAAACCTCAATTATCCCAACTAGTCAGGGGAATAAAAAAGGGAAATAAAAAGTAGGTGATGGAAAAGTATATGTTAACAAACGCCACAGAAAAGCAGTCCATGCAACACCAAGAGTGCTGCCATGTGTAACATTTCAGTGTTATTAATGCCCTTTCTCTTCTTATAGAAAGTCTAGCAGTACGAATAAAAAGCACAAAATGGCAACTAAACCATCTCCCTCATTCTTACGATGTTCTTACAAGCAGCAGGCATTGTCAACCACCACAGACAAATGCACAGCAAATTTTATCTTCGTTTTCGCCGTGCATACTCATAGACCTAGATGGAACAGCACAACCCAAATTAAAGGCTGAATTTGGGCCAGCTGGGAACAGGAATGACTTGAAAGATACACGAATGTATCTGCAAATTTCTCCCCATAAGTTTAACAACCTAATTCTTGGGGCTGGGGAGGGGGGCAGACATACAGGGCTAAAATGGCTGCTGATATAAATGGAAAAGTTCCAAATAATTTCAGCTTTTTCCATTTACATCCCAGCATTTGGCGCCCAAGCACTGTTACTTATGCCCTAAGTAGCTGCAAGCACAAAATTCTGTACTTGAAAAACAATCACAGAAAGAGCTGGGAATTTTTTTTAGCGTGTCAGATCAGTAAAGCTGAGATGGTGAAACTTAGTAAGCCGTCCCTGCTAAAACCAAAAAAGAGGATATGTAAAAGACATGACGATATCAAAGACCCCAACTGTACAGTGACTTGTCCAAGCTCATTATTACACATATACGGTTGTTTTAACTGTTTACCGCTTTCTCACGTACAGTGATTTTTAATGCACATTAATCTGCTAGCCTTAGCCAATTTCTCTAGTGTCCAAACCTGCTTGCCAGTGGTTTTTAAGGCCAGGAATTTCTCATCAAAGTGATTCCAGTTATCTGGCCTGACCCCATCCCAATTAAAGTATTTTCCATTTTCACTGCTGCTCTCAGGAATACATCTCCGTGGGATGCCCCTAAGTGTCCGCAGCCTGCACACTCAGTTTTTGAAGGTTGAGGAAGCTTGGCAGATGTTCCCGACCTCTCCGGTGCAGAGCAATCCTCTCCTTGCTTTCAAGAAGTTGACTTCTTTGCAGCAGCTTGCATATTCGTTTTGACTCGCTTCTTTGCCGAGTAGTAATCTGGAGAACAACAAATAAGCAGGATTACGGCTACAACACTGGTAACTGCTGCTTTTCAAGAAATCTCTCAAATCTCGTTTTCGTGTTGAAGAAGTCATTTAGACTTCTCTACGGCTCATGAATGAACAAAAGCTAGTACCTTCAGCATGTTCCACATAAAACTATGTAATACCAGGCAAAACAAAGGGAATGTGCTGGCTTTTATCCAGCTGAGATCAAAAGACTTTGGACCCTCTTATGCAAGCTCAGCAATGTGACATTTCACTCCAACTTTTAGATCCACAGCTGCAGTGCTTTCCAGACAGCAATAGGTGGGTTTTCTCCTCCCTAATAACAAAAAATACTCTGCAAAATAACATCAGAAGAACTATATGTATGGGACACTATTTCTGCTTATTAGGTCAAACCGCAGATTCAAGGAGGACCGCATAAAACCTTGCGCTATCACTGAATTATAACTAATCCTTTGCTCAGAGAGTAAGCACTGTGGCTCATAGGGAGAACACCCGTTACGTTTTCATATGTTCACGTGGTTGGATCTTTGTTTCAGGTGCAAACGTAAATCAGCCTTAACTACAGAACTGTGATTGCAACACAGGAGTTTCCCTATGAGCTCCTTCCCTGCCTCCCAGCCTCGCACAAAAACCGCGTACTTTTTTCAGGTAAATAAGGCAGCATTAGCTGAAATGGCAGCTAGATGCTTATTCATATTTAGAGTTCGTGGGATTCATGTGGTGCAAATTGTCTGTATTCACAGTAATGAATTCGCTCCAAGTTCAGTTGAGGATACGGGCTCCGCGATATTTAAACCTGAGCTTTCTATATAATCAAACTGGCAACACCCATCGAGTCCAACACCCAGGCATGAAGTCTTGCGCTCATTTCCACGCAGAACATTACTGGCGGGATGACTGGCATTCTGTAGCCTTTCACAGCCAAGTTTGTGCAATGAGATTCCTGCAGCCAACTTCCTTAAGGATACGCCTGCATGGCACGGCACAACGGAGCGCAGCGGCACCTGAGCTAGCCCCAAGTTAAGCTTCTGGAGCAGGACGTGATCCCAAGGAGAGTATATTCTCCCAGGCAGAAGCATGCACTGCTAGCTCAGTAGAAAAGCAAATCCTGCTATAACCTGCTGTAGTCTCTCAGTGGAGCAGCAGAGGAAGGGAATAGCAGCAAGAAAAACAAGCCTACGTTACCAAATGTAAGCCTTACTACTTATTTCTTCCATTTAAAAGACTTCTATATGGCTATCCTCCATTTTATTTTGGGAAAAGAAATGCACTAGGAATTATGCTTAGTAGGTAAAACTCAGAAAAGACTTAAATAGTTGGTATTCCCATTCGTGCCTGCGAAGAATTTTAGCAAGAGCCCAACTGCTCAGATGCCCACGTAATGGAGCTTAGTTTCAAAACTGATAGAGGCGCTTAAAAGCCAGATTCCCCAGAGCCGTATTCAGATGGTCTAGCCTCCACCTAAGATGCCAAACAGAGTCCACAGAAATTGGCTGGTTTGCCTAAGGGACCCTGAACAGCCCTGGCACTGGCATAAGTAGGCTACTGAGGAGGACGCTGCCTGCAGCCTGTCCCTGGCCACAGGGTCCTAGGAGGGAAAGGTTTCTGTTGTTTAAGTATACCTACCTAAATACCTGCTTTCCCTTCCTCCCCAGCCACCTTGCATGAACCGCCTGCTTCAAAAGAAAGACCACCTAGTGAAAACACAGCGTTGTTACCAATTTTCTCTCTTTGGCATTTTGCAAAGGAGGCGAGGCTGTATGAGTATGTCCCAGGAGAGCCAAGGTCTAAGTGTATCAGACTGAGGCAAGCCAAAAAGTTTGGAAAAGAAGAAGAGTGAAGAGCTGGCATGGTTTGCCAACCTTGACTAGTGAAGGAAAAAAATAAAAAAAAAGGAAAAGGTGAAAAACGCTTATAGCCTGTATCTGAGCTGCTTTTGAATTTGAGGCTCTCCCAGAAAACAGAGCAGAACCACACTGGGTCCACAACAAAAACGAGAGACTAGAGATGGAGTAAGTCTATATAAAAGGGTTGGGAGATAGAAAGGAAAATCTACTTTTGCACTGGTTAGCTCTCTGTATGTCTGAGGAGTCAAATGCAGCAGGAAAACCTCTGCTCCTTCCACTCTGGAGGCAGCAATGTCCGCAAAATCCCCATGGCTGCTTTTTAATCTATCAATATTTATTTAGTGGGCCACAGCTGTCTTTAAAAGTCTAAATTAAACTCACATTGTTGGATCTTAATGTAAAGCATTAGTGTTCTTGTTGACCAAAGCAGAATGCAGGTAACTGGGTGGCAGAACGCAGATAACTGGGTTCAAATCCAACCTCAGAACCTAATCCTAAACTAACCTTTCATTATAGGATGGCAGAAGATGAGCGAAGGGGTGGGAGCATAGGGTCAGACCCTATCAGCAGGTATCACTTTCCCTGGCTCAGTTTTGCCTGAACAACTTCAGTCATGCCCAGAGGGACAAGGTTCCTGCAGCTAGAGGGAAACTCCTAACGCATCCTTCAGCTGGCAGTAAGAAGGATGTGTGCACCTGTGAGGACTGAGAGAGGGACTGATCTCCAAACCTCATCAAAAGAGAAGACTGCAAATGATCTTCCTGGCCCGTCTCGCACACCCAGATTCCTTGGGGAGAAGGGTACTGTTGTTAGACTAAAGTGTTTTCTCTTATGAAAACACATGTGGGAAAGTGTTAAACTGTGCAGCGTGGTATTTTGGTTTCCATATCCCCTGATGAAATGTTTGTTGCCTGGGGAAAACAAAACGGAAGAAAAATATCCCCTGGAAATATCTGCATAATTTACTCCCACACACCTAGTGAGAGATTTACAATTGAACAGCAGTTCCCTCAAACCATCACAACATTGTGCTCTGAATTACGCTTCTGTACTCCTACCTGTAAATTATACTGTTAATTAGTTAATGGCTGTAAAGTGCTTTGGAGAAGAAAAGAGCACTCATTAAATATCATTGTTCTGTACCCCAGTGTGCAATGTTCCACTGTTCATTAATCTCCAACCTCTTCCTGAACCTTTCGCTAGCAATTAAGTTTCATACCCTCAAACAGCAAATTAGTCTATTGTCTGACTTAACTGAGATCAACATCGCTGCTTAGAAAGCGCTTCCTGAAACTTTAGCTTCAATTATCTTCTAGGCTATTTCAAGCTGGCGTCTCACATCAAATTCACAAAAGGAAATCCTTGGTCTACATCTTGAAAACCTCAGTCTTGGATAAACCAAAACCCCAATATGGACAAAAGAAATCTAAAATACAGATTAGATTTTTCAAACAAGCTCAAATCCCATTGGAAAGAGAAAATGAGGGGCCAGATGTTCAGAAGAGCTTAGCACGCGGGTTGCTGAGGACTTTCAAAAACCTAAATCTCTTTTATGGGTGCTGAAAACCACTCCTGGCAGCAAGTCCTGGTGAGAGGCATTTGAAAACCCAGCCTCTTCTGCCACCTGGACAAGTTTAAAATCAGTTTGCCCTGAAAATTCCTGGATGCCTTCACTGAGTATAATATCCAAGCTGAAGCGAGCAGGAGACCTGGCTGCTTCCTCTGGTTTCTGGTCTTCCTCCTAAGGCTTAGCTGACTGAACAGTGTTCCCTATTGCACTCGGGAAAGGGTGCACATGGCCAAACCTATAAGCAAGCAAAAAACCAAGAACTCCGATCCAATGGGCGACCCTGTTTTCCTATTGGGCTCCTGCTCGAGAAATCACCTCATTACTTTTGTTAGACTTCCTTTTTAAACATCTAGCCCTCCTAACCATCCCATCTATCCTCCCACATGCAGTGGTCATTATCTCATTGCTCTGTGACAAGTCCTAAAACAGACCCCCAGGGCCAGGAGGGGGGTTGTGGCACAGCACCTTTGAAAAACACAAGCCCCATGCCCATCGATTTAGAGCGTGCCTTCCTCCTCTTGCAGATGCTTCTCTGAAGGGTTGCACTTTCTTACAGGAAGACTGGTTTATGGGCCCATCAGAGAATTTCTAAGCAGCTGCTGGGACCAGTTTGACACCATGGTCTCACACACCTGTCAAAGATGTCTGTCGTCTTTTCTTCCCTTCCGAGATCCTCTTGCCCCCTGTTTTCTTGGAAGTTTTGGGTTTCTCAGTCAGTGCCACCTGGGCAAAGTGGTGGCTCCTGTCCTCGCAGCCCAGGGGCCAGTTCAAGTGCTGCAGTGGCCTCCGAGCACCTCCCACCACGCAGCTGTGGTAGAAGGCGGGCACCTCGTGGCCCTCAAGCTCTTCCCACTGCAGAAGCCCCTCCACCGGCATGTCCTGGAGGAAATCGAAGTTCCACTTCTGCTGGGCCCCCTCGACGCTGTTGCGTAGCATGTGCTGGAAGTCCTGCTGCAGCTGCTCATGGTCTACGGGGCCAAAGAGGTTCCTCTGGGTGTGGGTCATCTTCCCCGGCCTCCGCTCCATCTTTTCTCCCCGCTGCCGCTCTCTGGCAAGCGTATATAGCAGCGACTCCCTGCCAAGGACAGAAAGACCATCAGCCACCCTTTGCACGCTCAGTTTAGTGGGCACTGCATACTCTTTAAGGGGAGTGTGGCAGTAAACCTAGATACTTTTGATCCTGCTACAGGAAACCTTGGCTTATTTTGAAAGAAATTTATCCCTGTCTCCAGTCCAGAGTGAGAATTCCCATCTACAGGATGTGCCTATAGAAGGATGGGGAAGGGTGAAAAGCCCTCATCTCTTTAGTGCACCCTTATTTCAGTGTATACTGAATGAGGGCTTGCCCTAAGGGGACAGAGAATCACGAGGAAGTGGACAACATCCCTGGAGGTAGCGCAGCAAAAGACCGAAAGCACGGAAGTGGTACTTGGGGAAAATGGCCACATGTATCGCCCTAAACAAGGGAAAGGGCCTGAGAATGAGAATTTCCAAGAAAACAAAGGGTGACGGTAATCAGTAAAGTACAGAAGACACATTTAATTTTACAGTGAAGGTGGTATCTCTTTCCTGACTGCTCTTACAGTGTAGAGTACTCTTGCAGTGCCAGCCAAGTTGGAAGCTGAAGATGATCAGAGCAATCACCTATTTCTTGCCTGACATTTTCATTCCCTTTTCTTGAAGCAACTGCCTGAGAAATGGTCCCAGTCACAGACAAAACCACTGCCTTGTTTCCTACAACGGCAAATCCCATTCAAGCATCAGTTTGTAGACTTCCCATTTGGTAAGTAGGCATGGGGACAGTAGAGATGGGGTTTGCACCCTCCTCTGGCAGGTAAGGTGGGGGCATGGCAAGATGGAGAAGAAAAATCAGGCATTTTTCAGATTTCACAGGCCAGAAGGCAATAAATATACCAAATACCTTCACCCACTAATTCCTGTACCAGGTCTTTAATTTCTGGAAGAGCTTGAAAATAGATCTTAAAGGTCATTCAACTCTTTCTCTCTCTGGATCCACAAAACCCAGCCCCCCTCCCAAGCTGTGACATGTAGCAGTGGACAGGCTAAAAAGAAACTTCAGAGAAACATTAGCAAACAGCCAAATTTTGGATCTGTTGCGCTACCGAATTCTGAAGAGCATAAAGAGTTTGGGGACAGAGCTGAGAGAGGTCAGCTGGTGATTTGTCTGCAGACCATGCAGAGAGTCAGAGCAGCAGAGCTCATACAGAACCTCAAGCTTCGGGCTTGGTCTCCACCGTCCCAAAGGGTGCTTCAACTGCAGCTGACACAAACCCAGATGCAACTGGTATCATCACGCCCACCCTATTATCTCTGCAGGGTTGTACCTAACCCACGTGAACTCCGAGCACCCCCTTGCAATCACACCCCCAGTGCCTACTCTGAGAACGTCACTTGGTGGCTCCGGTATCAAGAGCTTGTCAGCAACGGGGCAGTGTTGGCACTTCGATGGTTCTGCACATAGTCAGCCACAGAAAACTCAGATACTGATGGATGCAGCTACCTCCTCCTAGGTGGAAGCTGATAGCACACCTGGGCGGCGGAGGTCCAACGAGGCAGACCAGCTCCTGCATCCGTTCATAAATCTTATTCCTTGCCTTTAGCGGCTCTGAACCAGCGTCCTGCAAACACATGACCCACAGCCACAGGAAATTAAACCAGTGAGTGCCAGGCCTGGGTTGCCCTTCTGGCGCATGGATTTATTTCCAAATGTTGGGCGTGGTTCTCTGGAGGCTGATGTCTCCCCACATTGCTCCGGGACGGGAAGCAGAGTAGCCGCCTTCCGTCTGGGACACCGTCTGCGGATGATCATTAGGGACTACAGTGCCTCCTGGGCCCCGCCTGGGTCCCACCAGCAGTACCGCGCCATGCCGTGTGGTTACACCGGCTCACTCGGCATCGGCCTCCAGCACTCAGCTGCCAACGGGAGCAAAGCTGGCAGCTGCCCAGCAGATTCCCCTTGCTCCCCGCAGGGCCTAGGAAAGGTGGGAAAGCACTTTTCCCGAGGAAAAGCAGCCGAGAGCATGACGAGAAGGACAAACCTCTAGGTGGCATCCAGAGCCCCCAAACTTCACGCAGAACTTTCCCTGGGGCTGCGCCCAGCCTTGCCCTTTAGCCGTCGGGATGCTGGGCTGTCACTATGGCTAATAACAACCGCACCTCCGCCGCATCTTCAGCCGGTGCCGAACCCTCGGCACCTTAAACTGAGTTAATTCAAAGGCAGTGGGGTCTTAGGAAAAGGCAAAAGGTCTAAGGAAAGGATACGCAGTGCCCTGCAGGAATATTCCTCTGTGTTAGAAACATTCCTCACACCTATTAGGAACTGTTGGATATCAGTGAGCCAGGGTGAGGAAGAAAGAGGGCATTTATCAAACAGCTATGGCCTTTCCTAACAGCATATTGCAATATCACACAGGAATGAACTCTAAAAGATTCTGCCTTGCTCTGTTAATGGTTATGCCTATTCCAGCGCAGCCTGCGAATCCCGTGCCTTATCTTTAAGACCGTCTAATTCCAGGTGTTTCAGAGGAAGATAAAAAGCCTGCTGAGAGGATAATTATAGAATAACCTTTCCCTATGGAAAGTTTCCTCCTAATACACTTAGTTATGTCATGAATCACAAATGCTTAGTAACTCTTCTAAACTTACATCACGTGTATATACTGCCTGGTGTCATTTCCATTATTCACGGTCGCATCCAGGGTGAAATCCTGGCCCTAACAGAAGTCAGCGCGAGTTTAACGCAGCAGAACCAGGACGCGGCTCCTGGCTTTTTTCAGGACTCTTTCCAGGTTTTGGCTCCGAAGCTGCACCGTCACTATTCCCACAGCTTAGTCTCAGCGGCATGGGTGTATTAAAACACCCATAAAATGAGGCTGAAATGTTTCTGAAATGCAAAAGCATTGTTGGTAGGGCCCTTCCTTTCGTTTTCCGTGATTTCTGCACCACCTAAGCAGCAGCTGTGAGCCCCATTCTGTCACGCCCGTACCTATCCATACACGCATCTGTATGGAGCCAAGATGCGGGACAAACGCTGAAGGCTGGAGCTCTGCACTAGCAGTGGCCGCTTCTGTTTCCTCCCCAGTTCTGCGCTAGCTTGAATGAGCTGAAAAGAAACAAAAGTTCCCTAGGCAGTTCAGCGCTTGCTCCTTGCACCAAACTTTCAGAGCATCAGAGGAATGTCCTCTCACATTTCTGAATATCCTAGGCATGCATGAGTTAAAAAAAAAAAAATAAAATGCCAACAAGCAAGAGAATTAATGCTGTGGATATCTCATTTTCGTACTTTTGGTGAAGGTCTGTTTCCTAAATAATGTTCATAATGAAAGCTGCTAGCTCGAAATCTTATTTTCAGACGCACCGCTTGCCTGTGGCAGGTGCTCAGCTACCTTTAACTCATTCTTTTCTACAACTATAGCTGAAAAAAAGGTCTCCCCG